CCATAAATCAATGGTATAAAATACTCCATTGAATATAATCACATGTTTGCCAGTTCTATTATTTAAATGCTTATCATGATAATAATTATTTTGTAATCAATCTTGTCAGTACTTCCTATATTTTATCATTATTATGTATTTTTATACAATAGTTCAATCACAATTCCTTTATATTCATGTTTTGATATCTTAGGAACCCTAAATAGAGGTTGGATGATTCAAAAGTTTATCCAGATGATTTAAAAATTAAAAATGTGATTGAACATTTAAAAATTTTTAATTACCTATTTATTAATTATTAATACATTTTTGTATATGTAACATAGTAGAACAGCACGACATATTATTAGCATGAGGTAGTACACCTATATTCCTAAAGGACAGGACAAACAATAAAAAAGGCTCTTAATTGGCTTACCTTCGCCCATTCTAGTCTAAACAGAAAATTACCGCTAAACTTCGTACCGCCAAAAACTTTTTTCTCACCTTTTGATCCTTCCCTGATCTTCCAAGAACATTCCAAGACCAAAATTAGCTAAATCGGTTCAGCCGGTCTCGAGTTTTAGTGAGACTAACGAACGAAAATTCATTTTTTTATAGATTTTTTTCAATACAATTTTACTAATTGACTATCTAAGTGTTTCACCTGTCGCAGAAAACCTAACGGGTTACCGGGTTCCGGAAAAGTCGGACACTCCCTTCCGCCTCACCCAGGCGGGAGAAGCCATTCGATGATTCCCCCCCCCCCTTAAAAAGTGTTTCTCCCCCTCCCCCATCTATTAAAAATTAAAAACAGGACTTCAATGTGAGTGCACATCCATCCATCTTCAGAGAATTATGGGGTAAAATTATTATCGATATAATTTCAGAAATGCCCCTTTCTGCTTCACTATTTTATTGTAATTCACGGCGATGTTAGAATTTCGAGTTTCGCCTTGACACAGAAACCGATTTTCTTTCAAGTAAAACTCTGTAACTGACCCAACCGCCGTTGTTCTTTCTAAATATACATTGTTACATAGTCTTATGAAAACTAGTAGCACAGCTCGGTTTTACTTAAGTACTGTTCCCTGAATTTCCACGTCAATTTATCGAATTTGGGCCCCGACGATTACAAATACACTAACATTACATTCTTGTGTAGTGAACCTTTCCAGTGTATATTTATCTCTTTAGCAAAATTTATCTTAATCGGTTCAGCTGTTTAGGCGTTTAAACGTGTCAATAAGATACTCATTGCAACAGAAGTGAATTTTAAATCAAGGTATTTGTTGTATCTTATTTTTGTTATCGTTACATATTAGAATACTAGCTACTTACGGCGCCTATTAATCGTATCGTGATATTTTATAGCCTATAGCCTTCCTCGATAAATGGGCTATCCAACACAGAAATAATTTTCCAAATCGGACCAGTAGTTTCGGAGATTAGCGCGTTCAAACAAACAAACTCTTCTGCTTCTCTTAATAATATAATAGTATAGATTAATTTGTTAATGGCTTATTGAGTTGTAATAGTTAGTCAGTTAATTTATCCTTTTTACTGATCACCTTTTTTATTTAGACTTGTTTCTATTAACTAATTGTGAATGCTATTAAACTTTTCGGATTTCTTGGAATTAGGTTTAAATTCATAACTTTCTGTGATTAATAAATAATAACGTGTAATTAATGATGACTTGTCATTAGCCACAAATTACTCTAATTTTATTAATAGATACTAATTTACAAGTAGAACTTTGTCGTTACTTAAGAACAAAAGTTGTAATCTATGGAATAGTGTAGAATGCGCCCGCGCACCGCAATCATAGGAAACGGCCGATAGTTGTTTTTTTCTCTCTCATTGATTGCGGAACGTCGTAAAACCGTGAAACTAAGAAATATCATAAACGAAAATAGAAAATAACAGTGAATTTTCAAATGGATCTGGATTTAACTTTTTTGTCATCAGTATGTATGTTTTGTTTACTGTTTTGTTAGCATAGGTAATATTTTTTGATATTATACAACTTTGAGTGACCTCTGTCTACCCCTTCTTGTTCTTTAAAATAATTATTAATGTGGACTTGTTGAAATATTTACTACTCTTACGCCCGAATATTAAAAGGCTACTCAAATTTAAATTGTACATACTTAAATATTAAAAAAATATATATTATCATAGAACTATTTAAACAAGACTTAATATCGAATGTTTTATTCCAAAAATATAATTCATGTACAGAATTGACCTCTTTACAGATTTATTATAAGTATAGATAAAGGCTAAAACTGTATGGAGAAGATCGAGCAAAAAACTCTTAATAAAATGTATACTTGTGCCCGTTTTTACCAAATTCTCCTATATTTCAAGGAACACCTAAGCTAAGCCTGGTTTTTACCAACCTATAAGTGACACCTAGTACTAGAAATAAGGAGGTTAGTTTAGGTGCTATGTCACGCTAAGTAACGTTTAGTTAAGAGATGGTTTAAGAGTGGTTTGTGAACACGGTCATAAGTTCTACTCTGTCTATATAATATGGATATTCAGTTTCTCTTTTATCTCCATTTTCAATGGCCTTTACATAAGTTTTATCACACCCATTAATCAGATCAGAGGATAGATAACGGTTTTGTTAGGCTGAAATTTTAGATTTTTCACCTTCGAAAATGGCTACATTTTTTTAAATTAGTGTTTGGAAATCCTGGCTGTTGGATGTATTTTTTTTGATACCTCATTTGAGGTCGAGATGTTAAAGAACTGTTTGGTCTATGTCCTCTGTGCTGTTCAGGTCCACATGCACTGAAAGAACCTTAATCATCTTACGGAGCCGTGGAGGAACTAACGGGTTGCCGGAGTAGGAATGGGGTGGTTTTTAGGCAGTAAGACATTCCCTCTCGCCTCAACCAGGCCTGAGAAGTCATTCGATGATTTTCCCCCCTTAAAAAAGCAATATATAAGCTTGGGAGTCTATAGACGCATACGCATATCTTATGGAATAAGGTTGTATGTACATCTTATATTGCTTTGCCATAGTTTTGTGAGATTGCTAGTCGACTTCTGACTTCAGACCGTACTTATCTTCTTCTTGGCATTTCCTTAACTATCTTGTCGTTGTGTAGACCTCATTCGACATCCTCTATTCGTCTGCGTTGAGCTCTTTTTTGCATCTAGTTGGAGCCTGCAACCTTTACGACATTTTTCCAAGATTTGTTTGAAATCTTTGTTTGTTCTTCCATCATTTCATCTTTATTGAATCCAAGAGATGTTTGGGTCGAACACTTATGATATTTGAAATATTTGTTTGTTTTTTTTAGGTTGTTCTGTCATTCTCTCTTTGCCTGGGTTGTTTTTCTTAATTAGACCTTTTGTCTTCCTGGATTAAGTACGGTTTTTGCTAGTTTTAGATTTTGCTAATATCTGTTTTAAGCGGAATAAAATTAGACTTGTTTTTTTATAGTTTGGCGTTGCAGAAGAGTATTAGGATGGGAACTCGGCTAAAAATTAATTAATTAATATTAAATTAACTAAAAATAACTGTTTACTTACGTTAATATACTGAGAAAAGCTCTACTATTTTCGAGTTACAGAGGGCGCCTTCCTCATAGCCGCGTGCGCAGTCGCGGCGACGTCGCGCAGCTTACATAATAGTACTTAGTTAATTTAATATGTCTCAGTGTCTCACAGTAATTATTATAAAAATATTTAAATTATTATGTAATATTATTCCGCTAACAATAATATTAAATGCAGCTAAAAAATGAAAGTGTGGCACAATTTTTTCCGTATCATATTGATACGAACTCCTAACGAACTGGGACTGGTTATCTTACTGACATAAGTTTTTAAAAAATATTCATATTTTTTTGTCTAAACCTAGAGAAGAATGTAGGTCGAAAAGTGTTCATGGGCTTGTGACACGATAGCACATTTTTATTAGTACAGCTAAGCTATATTATACTTAATATAGAAGCCATGTTCATTAAAATGGTCTTCTTCCTAGATTGAAGTAAATGTTGCTGTAAAAAATAAATAACAACAGTTGTAAAACCTTAAAAAGATTAAAATATGATGTTTTTAAACTTAACTCTTCATCTATATTGATTTTCAAGTGTTTTCTAATGAAAGTAAGCTACTTATAGTACTTATACAGTCTCAAAGTATTGTTATTGTAAACAACTCGGGTATTTCCCTTAATATAACAACTGTTCCTTTACAAGCAAAATAATGCAGAACTGATAAAAATAAAATGGTAAATAGAATGTGATAAATACTAATTAAACAAACATTTACGGTATAAAAAGTAAAAAAAAAAAATTTCAACTAAGTAATTTCAACAATAAATGTTAAGTAAGCATTTAATGACTTTGAGTGTGTGCGGTGGTCTGCTTAGGCCCGATTTTTCCAACGCCAGATAAATTTTATTAGAGGAATAATTTTGTCAATTTCTTCCAAAGTAAAAACTGTCAAATGTGAGAGAGCCATGCTTCGGCACGAATGGGCCGGCTCGACCGGAGTAATACCACGGCCTCACAGAAAACCGACGAGAAACAACGCTTGAGTTGTGTTTCGTAGTGTGAGTGAGGTTGCCGGATAACAATACTCTCAACTCTACAATCTCCCCAATCCATGAATATTGAACAATCCTCAAATTCCTAATCACCAAAAGGCAGGTAACGCACTTGTAACACTTCTGATGTTCCGGGTGTCCATGGGTTACGCCGATTACTTGCGACTTGCGAAGTTAGAATTTATCTGTTGATTGGAAAAATCTACCCTATGTTATAATAATAAGTTGTCGCGGAGAACCTAACGGGTAACCGGGGCTCCGGCTCGACGTGCAGGAGAAGGAACGGGGTGGTTTTTAGTCAGTAAGAGTCTGACACTCCCTTCCGCCTCACCCAGGCGGGAGCAGTCATTCGATGATTTTCCCCCCTTAAAAAAAAGTTATAATAATAAGTTAACTGTAAAAAAACTTGACTGTACTTTCTAAATATGTTTTTTTATAAATGTTTTTTCAGGTTGTCGACATGCATACTGTCCACGAAATTATATCCTTACTGGAGAGAATCAATATCACAAAAGAGCTGTTGGAGGTAAGAAAACCATTCTATTATTATTTTTAAAACTATTGTCCAAATACATAATGGTTACCTGCATTACATTTGAAAATTGGTTTTATTATGCTTGCTTATGGATTTCTATTTTATGCTAACGTCTCATCTCGGCCTTGCCCGCATTCTTTATTCCCTGAATTTGTTCCCTGCAAATTTTGTCTTGACAAAAAAGACTTGTTCGATTTGGTGCAGTCGTTTGCAAGTTATGCGCGCACATACCTACATCTGAACATGAATTTCGATTTAAAAAAACCGAACAAAACATTTATGTTGTGTTCATAAGACAATTATACAGTCAAACTTTAAACTATACCAGAATTGTGATTATAAAAAATATTTCTATCCAAAACGAAAGCAAAAAATCTAAATAGTAGCAATTAGCAATAGTTTGGAATTATGCCCGGTATATGGCAATAGGCTCACTCCCTATTACATGGTACTCATAACATAAATAGTGAAAACTGGGTGCTACATTGTACAGTGGCATTAAGTGCCATAATGTGCCTTCTACTCGCTATCAGCAAGTCACTCGCTAAGTAACATCTAATGATGATGATTCATCATTTACTTATATTTGATAATTATTAATGACCTCGTTATTGACTTTTCTATCACGAGTCCAATGTCCGGATGTAACTTATTTCCAAAAACCCATATACTTAAAGTCCAAAATAGGGTTAAAAGTCAGACTTGTGTAAATGAATAGTCCCATTTTATATTAAGTCCTTTCCAAATTGAACATTTTATTGACATGAGAAAATATTGAGAATTAAACTGTCAGACACCGCGAGGACACCGGTGACCGCAACCTATTGTTCTTTAACTGTGTCTGTAATGACGGTACTCAAAGGGTTAAGGGTTTGGGTATGGGGGAGATTGGGTCTCCAGTAACCGCACTCATACGAGGAAACAGATTTGTTTCACGTCGGGTATTCTGAGAGGCTATAGTGTCACTCCAGTTGAGCTGACTTTCCCACACTTAAATGGCATATTACAGGGCAAATAATCAAAATTTTTTAAATGTAAAATATGTATTATAATATATGTTGTTGAATATTTCCAGACCACCCGACTGGGCAAGCATGTAAACGAGCTAAGACGGAAGACGACGGACCCGAGCCTCGCGCGCCGTGCCAAGGTGCTTGTCAAGCGGTGGCGGGACCTCGTCATACCCACCGTTGCATCGCCCGGACATACAGGTAATATTGACACAATATTAGCGATTGTTTTAAATAAAAGAAGTCCTAAACAATATTTACTATCTACTCGAATATCTACTTGACTGTCTCGTTTGTCGAGTGGTCGCAAGTCCGACTGCCGGGCAACGGGTCGATCCCCTACTGCACGGAGTCTGGAATTGTGCCCGGTATATGGCAATAGGTGAATAGGCTCACCCCCTATTACATGGGACTCATACCATAAATAGTGAGAAGTGGGTGTTATATTGTTATATTGTACACTGGCATTAAGTGCAGTGATATGTAGGCAGAGGTCTGCTTACCCCTTTGGGAATAAAAGGCGTAATGTTATGTTATGTCCCTAGCGGTTTCACCAACTGCTGCTGATTCTCCCCCCTCAAAAAAAAAAACGCTCAGCGCCATCTATTGCCGTCATCAACAATCACCCATACACCCCATTGGTCTTCAATACAAAACTGTGGCAATCGCTTGCCAGTCGTGACCGGTCTATTCGGCCGTAATTAGGCTACCAATGCCACTTATGAAACACTGATTCATTGTCCTCTACTGTTATGTAATTTGATGTTGTTTTTTTATCGATAAAATGGAGTTTCTTGTTCATTCTTCTCCATTTGAAACTACACTTTCGAACTAGCGCCTAGCATCACTGATAAACAGGCAGACGGACGGACAATCCAATTTTTGATGTTTCAATAGTGCCTAAAAGCATTAATTTAAAATAAATGCTTTAACTTCATTACTATCGCTGTTTGGCAATGAAAAGTCGATGATAGATTGAAGTTCGTTCAATGAGTACACTTAGGAGAAGGTTTTAGTATATTAATTAACCGACTTCAAAAATGAGGGCATTGAAACTGGGTTTTTTAACGTAGTATTGAAAAGAATTATTATTTAAAAGTTGTTAGAATCTAGCTGCTTCATGCAACTCCAGGCTGGCAAGGACTACCCGTGATAATAAGACCAACGTGATATGCCCTACCCTGTTTGATTACGCCATCATTTTCGGAATGTCCTCTCCAGAAACGATGGTGCAATAAAACAATTTTCTGCATAATCTAAAGACTTGTTTCATAAACCATAATATTACACCATAATCAGCCTGTAACTACTCCACTGTTGAGCATCTAGCTCTTCTCACATAAAGAAGGAATGAGCATTAATCACCACATTTGCTTGATGGTGATTTCAAACTTATAATTTGAAATTGGTAATAGGTAATAAGGCCTCCGGTAATCTCACTTACATGACGAAACAACGCAAGTGTTGTTTCAAGTCGGTTTTCTGTGCGGCCGTGGTGTCACTCCGGTCGAGCCGGTCCATTCGTACCGAAGAATGGCTCTCCCAATAACAATAAGAAGGTTTAGAACATGTTATTAAAGTTTATATTCTTCATCCCCAGGTTCAAACCGGTCGTCAGCAGAGCGGCAGGTGCATAGACGTCTCGGCGGCACCCCCCTCACGTCGCCGGCGCTCTCCAGGGTACCTATACATGTACTTAATATTTCTATCTGTCTCTTTCAATACTGTGGTGTCGGTATGAATGTCTGTCTGTCACCAACACAACTGGTCTTCAGGTATGTGGACAGATAAAGAAATAATTAAATGTGTATGTAATGGTCTATTGCAAATAAAACAGTCTTTTGTATTTTGAAACTTATATAAAATTAGCTTATTCTTATTCCCCCAGTATTTGTGAAAAATTGCCAAAAGGCATAGAATTTATTTTAAAACTTAACTTCCGCTCAGTTTTAGTTTATAGACTTCGCTTTAGATAATAGTAATAAGATAAGATTTTTAATATGTAGTGGGCCCGTGTTTGGCCACTATCCCGCCTGGTGGTAAGCGATGTTGCGGTCTACGATGGAGCACACCTGCCCATACACTCGGGCCCTAAAGACAGCCAAATGTTACATAATTAAAAAATATTAGACACGTATTTTTTTATTTTCTCGTATTAAGCTGCAATACTTAGATAAAATGGCGCTAAGTTTAGGAGTAGGAGGAGGCGGTCGTTACGTCATAACGTGCTACAAAATGTGGCACGCAGAGACGTCACACGATATTTCAAATTACTATATCGTCGAAAGAATTTAATTTTGTGAGAAATGAAAAAATACGTGTCTAAATTTTTAAATTAATCTACCAGTCGGACATTAAAATAAAATTTAGGAAACTACCCTATTCGATTCTTTAGCTGTTCTAATAGCAAAATTTGAGGCTAAACGCTTAGTGGGAGTGTGTGGCATATGCACCACGAAGCGGATAGTTTAATATTGTATGTATTGTGTACAATAATGTGTTGTATTGTTGTGTTACAGCAAGTGGTGAGTCCGGCAGTGAATAGCCCGCGACCGCCGTCCAGACCGGGTCAGTATACATTTATTTATGAATGTATACTATAGTAACTCGCATCTTCGTCCACATTACTAGGATAAATAGTAGCCTAGCTTCTGCATGTGGCTTCGTTCGTGTTATCGTGATAAAAAATTATCGTCAGGTCTCTTCTCACACGAGGTTTGAGCATTAATCACTACACTTGCTCAAGGTGGATTGGTGATTTCAAATATAGTTTATAATTGGAATTTAAACATAAAAGATTAGGCTGCGCGACATCGTCGCGACTGCCCACGCTGCTCATGAGGAACAACCCCTCTGTGGTTCGAAACTAGTAGAGCTTTTCTCAGTATTTTCACGTGAGTAACCCGTGAGTTTTAGTTAATAAGAATAAACTCATAGGTTATTCTAGGCTACAGTTACAAATATGTAATCCAGATCTATTCAGTAGTTTTTGCGTGACAGAACTACAATCATACATACATCCTCTAAAAACTAGTAAAGATTTAAAGTTAAGATTTGTATAATATTAGTAAATTTTATAATGTTAATTGATTGTTATTCCAGCATGGGGAGGTTACGAGTCGGACTCTCAGGATGTGATCCTGGTGGACGACGAGCCCCCCGCGCCCCCCGCGCCCCCCGCGCCCGCCCCGCCCGTGCCCTCGCTGCCACACACACACAAACCTAGCACGCCACGTGAGTACCGCAGACCTTATATTATTTTTATTTATCAAAAAGGAAACAAACCATAAATGTCCATGAATAATAATATTTTAGTGAATTGTTCTTACGATTTCGTACATACATAATTTTCATATTTATCTAGCAATTGTTTTTACTAAGTTTGTATGTCATTTCAATAAAAAACCAGTTGCAAAATAGCATGTTTCATACTTTTATCTTTTTTTTTTCTCTTATTTAAATTAATTAGGGTCCGTTTTTCCAAGGCTAAACGCCAGATTACGCCTCAGTTAAAATTTATCTGGCGTTAGCAATTCTTCCATACTAAGAACTGTCAAATGTCAATTTTATTCTTCAGTTGCATTAAATCAAATGAATAGAAAAATCGGCTTAAAATTTTCAAATTCATAGACACTTGATAAAATAATAAAATATTTAAGTACATCATATTAAACCTATAGATAATCATCATGTAATCATGCAATGATAATTATGACCACTTGTACAGCTCTTATCAGTAAGATACTAAACATGTTGAGGTCAAAATAATCATTGATTTTGTAATACATATTGGTTATTTCCGGTAACGATCGATTCTGTATGTTATTGCGGTCGTATCTACTATAACACATTATAACATCACGCCTTTCGAAATCCCCGAGGGCGTAGGCAGAGAGTTCCATTTCATACAAATGGTTGTTTTAGTTATTCAGAATAAATCTAATCGGGTACTTGCCAACTAGTCAAATTTAATACTTTTTTCGAATTGTCAAAAACGACAGTTTTCTATGAATCTTGTACGAGATTGTGTATTGTGACGTTACGTGTTTTAAGCGCCAAGTAGCATACTTATTACTTAAAAATGTGCTGAAAAATACTAAAATGAAGTTGGTTATAAAATCAATTAATGATAGTGTGATTATTTTTTATTATTGCATTGTATTGAACAGTCGAAATAATGTATTTTTGATTAAGTAAACTACCCAATTTGATTAGCTGCAAACTACTCTGTCATACTCATATGTATTTATTAGTGCTATGTACGAAAATAGCTAACGGTTTCGTGTACTATTACAGCTGTAAAAAGGCCGCCCTCCCCGGAACCATTGTATGATGAAAAGAAAGCGAAAAGAGATAAAAAACCTAAGAAGAAAAGGTAAGTGTGAAATAACTGCGAACGCAATATCTCACAATACCTACCAATATTAAATGCTGTTCCCGACAGGGTCCATAATTGTTACTATTGTATTTTCTAACCACCTGTATGTGGACATTATGGATGCAATAAATACTTGATTACATTAAAATAATGTGGATAGATGCCCAAACTTTCGAATCGCAATTATGTTTAAGATATAACGTAACATAATACCACGCCTTTTATCCCCTAAGGGGTAGGCAGAGGTGCACATTACGGCATTTAATGCCACTGTACAATGTAACATCCACTTTTCACTATTTATGTTATGAGTCACATGTAATAAGGGATGAATCATATACTGGGTACAATAGCAATTTCTCCAGCAATTTTTCCAGCACGAGTCCTGGACTCCGTGCTACTACTGAGTTTAGATTAGATATTTTGCTAGACCTGGGAATCTAACCCGAGACACCTTGCCCGGCAGTCGCACTTGCGACCACTCGGCCATCGGGGCAGTCAAGTGTTCAAGATGTATGAGAGTATTAGTTTTAGATTAATTATTGTGATTGTGAATATCTATCTCGCCTTATTCAAGTTATAGTGTAATTAACATTAGTCTACTATCTACAATTTTTTTATGAGATTTTAGTAAATTCTTCTTCGAAAGATCTTCCCTTTTTTAATATTGTTTCCAAATGTGCAAGTGCTTATTATTTATTGATTTATATTATTATTTGAATGATATAACTGTGTGTATCGTTTGCAGAGGACACAGTCGCGCTGGCTCGGGTACGGAAGCGACGGGTCCTGTGGCGGTGGGGGGCCCGGTGGTGCCGGCGGGGCCCGGTGTGGGGGCGCCCGGGGCGCTGGGGCCCGCGGCCGGGGCGCCCGGGGTGCTGCCACCGTCGGCCGGGGCCCCCGGGGCGCCCGGGGCCGCCAGCTGGGCGGGCCGCAACGGCACGTCGCACGAGCGCCGCCGCAATGGCACCAAGCGACACGCGTTGGATTCATACGCCGCGCTTGTCAACCGTATGCCTCCCGCTGGTGCTAAGAAGGTAGGGATTCTGTCCTTAATCGTATCTTTATCATGGTTAATATACAAAGTTAGTACTAAGACCTTTATAACTAGTAGTGACTTCAGAGTGTGAAATTCTTACCTCAATGAAACCAACGTCATTGATAACTCCAGAGTTGGAGATCCCAATCTTTGGTACACGTATTATAATTGTACGGTTAAGTACACCTTGCTTAGGTTCGCTGGTAAAGATGTTTGCTTCTTGAAGTTAAGTCAGTTGAGTTGATGAGTGCAAAGAGAAAGAATCACTTATGATACGTTTATTAGTTAAGTTATACAAGTTGAAGGTTGGCGATTCCTTTCTCTATCGTTGGTTTATTAGCACACACAGAGTTTACTTAATCGATGACTATTTATACTTAAATTACGAACGCGCGACGCGACATAGTTGCCGCATCAGCACTACCCATATACAGCGTGTACAGTTTAAGACTGTACATCTTGCCACCCCAAAAGAAAAACTAGTTAATATAAAAGATAGAGAAAAGGAAAAGCCATTACAAAGCAAATTATTCATTAGTCAAAATTAAATGCGACGTTTCTTGTTCCGGTTCTGCTACTTCGGCGAGATTTCCCAGGTTGATGCTGCTCCGGGTACTCCTCGCTCGGTGATGCTGTTGTGGCTGATTCATTGAGCTGGTTGTCACTGGGTCTATGGATAATTTGTAGTTCAATGTCTTGATGTTCTTCGTTATTCGATGCGCTTGGTTGTTTAGTTGAAATCCTGCGACAACGCTTCCTTCCAAACACCACAAGCAAAGCAATTGCGGCAGATGCTAACATAAGGTAGCTGATAGCATATTGATGAACATCGTGGCTGGAGATCGTGGTGAGTTGTCGATTCTCATTATCTTGTTGTGTTTTAACCTTATCCTCTATATTCTTCATTTCTACCCTTTCTGCAGTGTCTTGGAATTGATTAGGAACATAAGTGTACGTTAGATTAACGATCTTATTTATAGAGCTGTCCAAAGTAGGAACAGATAACTCGTAGTCCATCTTCAAGTGACTGTTATACTGGTGCGGAGTGTAAATTGTCAAATCTTTGGACTGCATTACACATCCTTGAGTTATAGAGACTATGCTCGATGACGTCATAGTGTACGTCGTCACGTCGTTGTTACAAATAGTACGTAATGTGCATATGTCGCAGCAAGTCGCTAACCAGCTGTTTGAAGAGTGTAATTGGATCCACGCGTCCTTGCAAACTGTTCGTTCCATATCGCACGGCGCCGTGTTGTGATGCGACAGCAGTTTAGCCTCGCATGGTGCACGGTTGCTATGCAAATTGAAAGCCGGCAGGTTTTTCTTGCAAAGGTAAATATTTGATTTTTGTTGCAGGCATTCCTTGAAGTCTTCCTTTGTCAATGAGATATATGTATTCGTTTTGAGATTTATAGCGACATAATCGGATGATATCTGCACATGTCCAGTAGATTCGTTCATTCTAATAGGCAGAGGTATGGGTTTGTAGATAATGAAGTCATCGTTAGCGATAAGTGGTATGTGAGCCTCGAAGAGGAAGTATACTTCTGTTACTCGAGCCTTCACATTTATTATTTTATAAAGATCCTTTATGTGCTCCTTATAATTGTCGACTGGCAATGACACAGTTTTTGGAAGACTTCCCGATATTTCATTTAACTGTTCGATTAAGTGTACCGGAGTTATTAAATGCACATCTAGATGGCCTTGGTATATGTTCGTCAGCGTGTTAAATAACATTTCTTGGAAGGTTCTCATGTTGTTGATTAGAAGAAATGTTGTAAAAGACGCAGAGTTTATGTAAGAAGTTGCTGAAAGTATCTCCATCTCAGACTCAATAGAGGCCAAATTCTTATTAGTTTGGTTGACGAACTTATCAATTAGCTTGAACTGACGCTGTATGTTGTCTTCGCTTTTCTTCAGGACATCGTTTTCTAGTTCTACAATACTTGTCTGATTTTTTATTAATTCAAACAGGTAGTCTTCATTGTTCTGCAGAGACTGAATATCGTGTTGATATTTCTCGGCAAAGTGCTGATCGAGTATCCCAAATAAGCTATTAGCTAAATAACCCACACCATCGATTAATCCTCGTTTCTTTCTGATGCTGAGGTGTTTGTGTGGATTTATTAAAACATAGTTGTAATAGCGGAGAAGTTGAATTTCGTGTTCCAGTTGTTCTATAGTTGTTTTACACAGTTGTAGTTTCGTTTGGTCGCAGACATTTTTCAAATGGTTAAAATAAGTTTCAATGCGGTTAGTTCCTTCCCAATAATTAGTTAAATTATAGTACATAACTAAAATCCATTCGTCATGTATTAATTGCATTCTGCCAATTTCATCATAGTATACGGGCCGCTCATGTTCCAATCTTGTAATTTGAGCTCCCGGCGCTTGGCGCGTGCCGTCAATAGCGCAATGTGATACCGACATAAATGTAAACATTGATAATATTGTAATTAAAAATGTTGAGAGACATTTATTGGATTTTGTTCGATGTTTCTTAGCTGACGTCGTTTGAGGTGCGCTATTTTGCTCACCCGTAGTTTCAGCGTCTGAATTTAATGGTAACGGTGATAGTTTTACTACTGGGCGTTTGATAATTCCCAATTTAGTTTTTATGGTTGTGACGCGAACATAACCGTCAGCTCCAGGATGTGTCTCCATCACTCGTCCCAAAGCCCACTTGGCCGGTGGAAGGTTGTTATCTTTCACCAGTACAATGTCACCTTGTTTGATGTTAGTTGTAGGCTTATTCCATTTGCTACGACTTTGTAACGTAGTAAGATATTCATTGGACCAATTCTTCCAGTACTGGTTAAACATTTGCTCGAGCAACTGCCATCTACGACGTAAATCAACATTGTTAACTTCCGGACAGTTGGATAGCGGGAGTGACAATGTTGGGGTTCCTGTGAGAAAATGACCTGGAGTTAAGCAATTATAAAACTCTTCCGGGTCTTCGGTAAGAGGGCACAATGGTCGTGAATTCAGACACGCCTCTATTTTAGTTAAGAGTGTTGTGAACTCCTCATAGGTCAATTTTTGCTCTCCTAATACCCGACGCAGATGGTATTTCATTGATTTAACCGCCGCCTCCCATAGTCCACCAGCACTGGGCCAACCTGGTGCGTTAAAGTGCCATTCAATTTCTAGGTCAGCTAGTGTGTTCAACAAGTCTGATGATAATAGCTGTCGCTTAAATATTTCAAATTCTTGTCGAAGTACTCTTGCAGCGCCAACGAAATTAGTGCCGCAATCTGAGTACATGTGCTTGGGCGTTCCCCGTCTTGCACAAAATCTTTGAAAAGCGGCTATAAATGTTTCCGTACTAAGGTCAGAGACGAGTTCAATATGCACAGCTTTCGTAGCCATACAGATAAAGATTGCGATATAGCCCTTTGACGTTTTGACTCCCCTGCCCTTGTTAAGCTTGATGTCAACATGCCCGGAAAAGTCAACTCCGGTATGTGTAAACGGTCGACAGGGTGTTATTCTATACTGAGGAAGATTACCCATTATCTGATGATTGTCAGTCCTTTTGAATCGATGGCAACGTATGCATTTTATCAGTTCAGCCTTCACAGCACGGTTCCCACCGATGATCCAGTACCGTTGCCTGATGTATGTCAAAGTCAACCGGGCTCCTCCATGTAGCGTGATAGTATGAGCTTGTGCAATTAAAAGTTGAGTGAAGCGTCCCTTGTGAGGTATTATCATTGGATGTTTCATGTCAGAAGGCAAACCTGAGTTCTTCAAACGACCTCCAACGCAAATAATCCCATGGGAATCTAAATAAGGATTCAGTTTATAAATGGAACTTTTCCTGGATACAGTTTTAGTTTGTAGCAGTTGAATGTATTCGGGATTGAATTCCAATCGCTGCACATGAATAACGATACTTCTAGTTGCTGCGCTTAGTTCGTTCGTTGTTAGGTGTGCGGTGTTTGATTTCGCCTTAGTACGCATATTTGCTATGAAGCGTTGTATCCATGCGACGACTCGCGTTATTCGTGTCAATGAACTATAATTGTTCAATAAAGTAGTTATTACGTGATCAGTTGGCTGCGTTGGATTATGTTTTGTTGCAACGTGGTTTATGCATTCAATGTTAGTTGTGTATGAGTAAAGATTTTCTTCCATATTTTCCTGTTTAGTTAAAAACTCAGGGCCTTGCCACCATAACTTGAAGTGGAGTAATTGGCTAGGCAATAGCCCTCTTGAGGCACAGTCTGCTGCGTTCTGTTCAGATTTCACATATCGCCACTCGTTCGCTGGGATTATGCGTTTAATACTTGTTACTCTGTTAGCGACATACTGTTCCCACCTTGACGAGTCACCCTGTATCCACGCCAACACAACTTGTGAGTCTGACCAGGCTTTTATGGAGACATCATATCCAGTGAAAGCTTCCTTTGTTTTCTCCATGAGGTTTGCCAACAGCTGAGCGGCACATAGTTCAAGTCTGGGCAAAGTAGTTTTCGGCGTCAGCGGGGCAACCCTCGTTTTCCCGGCAAGTAGAGTTACTATGGGAAGTCCATGTTCGTTGAACACTCTGCTGTAAATGACACAAGCGTAGGCTTTCTCACTTGCATCACAGAATCCGAGTAGCTCGACATGTTGTTGTTTATACTGTATCCATCTTGTAAGGGACATGTTTTTGATAATAGATAGGTCAGTTATTAGTTTCATCCAATCGGTTTCAATGTCACTTGGAACTTCGTCATCCCACGCAAGTTTACTCATCCATAGTTTTTGGAAAAGTAACTTGGCTTTAATAGTTACTGGTGACAACCAGCCCAGAGGATCATAAAATCTTGAGATATTAGAGAGTAAGGATCTTTTCGTTTGGCGTTTATGATGTTTTATTGGCCAGTTGAAGTGGAAGGTATCGCTACTGGGATTCCAAGTGAGACCTAATGCCTTTGAAGACTCTTCATTTTTGAAATCGAACATCCTTTTGTTTGAGATTTGATCTTCACTTAGGTTTTTTATTAAATCTGGGTGGTTGGCGGTCCATTTCCGCAGATTCATGCCTCCTCCTCGCAATAGTTGGATTAACGATTGTTGTAAATGTTGGGCATTCTCAATATCGTTATGACCGGTGATTACGTCATCCATATAACACGATGTAATAAGAGTGCGAGCTGCTTCGGGGTACTTGTGACCATCATCCGTCGCAAGTTGTTTCAATGTACGCATTGCTAGCCATGGTGCAGCTTTTGTGCCATACGTGACAGTGCGCAATTGGAATGCCTGCAAATTGCCAGAAGTCGAGTTCCGCCAGATGATTCTTTGAAGATGTTGCTGATCTTCGGAAAGCCAAAGGCAACGAAACATTTTCTCTATATCAGCGGTGAATGCATATTTGTACGTTCTCCACTTCAATATGAGACTCAGGATGTCCTTTTGTAAATTAGCTCCGGTTTCCATTAAGTTGTTCAAGCTATAGCCAGTTGAGGTCTTCTGCGACGCATTAAACACGACTCTTAATTTTGTTGTCAGTGCGTTTTCTCTAATAACCCCGTGATGTGGTAAGTAGTAACATTTCTTCGTAGACACGTATGATGCTGGTTTCATGTGACCGAGGTCCGCATATTCTTTAATAAATTCTTGGTACATGCCACGAAGTTTTTCATTATTTTTGAGTCGTTTTTCTAATTGTAAATACTGTGAAATAGCTGTGGACTTTGAACTGCCTAATTTATCTTCAAAGTCAAAACATAGCGGCATTTTCACAATGTATTTCCCATCTTCCGATCGTAAGACAGTTTCTTTATAAAATTGTTCACATTGATCGTCTGTTGATGAGTCTTGGGGAGTTTCGATGTCTTCAATATTCCAAAACCTTGTAAGTTCTTCTAAGTTTATCATAGTTGCGTGACAATTTACAGTTTTCATCTTGCCACACAAAATCCACCCAAGGTGTGTTTGTTGAGCAACAGGAGATTGGTTGTATCCCTTTAAGACACCGTCCAGGATGATATCAGAATATATATCAGCTCCTAATATGACATCGATATGACGTGAGATGTTGTATTCTGGATCCGCTAGTTTTAAGTTCTCCAGATGCGGCCATATTGTTTTTTCAAATGTTTTGTTCGGTAGGTTATTAGTTAGTTTTTTCATAATGAGGGCTTGAGTTTTAAATGTATAATCGGAGTGGATTGACTGGCATATCAAGTTGAGTTGCCCTCTGCATTCCCCGGAAACAGTTCCAATTCCGGTTACACACGCGTTGATCCTTTTGCGTGGTAGACGTAACATTTGGGCTGCATTCTCCGTAATTAGGTTTACTTGTGAACCTTGGTCAAGGAGAGCTCGCAATTTGATATAGGTTCCGTCCATTGCTTGAATTTTCAGCTGAACGGTAGTCAACAAAACCTCTAAGTTGCTGTCTGACAGATGGTTAGATGTTTGGGCCTGGGTTGATGTGGACGGGCGCTGACGAAACTTATTAGGTAAAGTAATTGGTTTCCGCTCCGAGTTGTGCAACAGCGTATGATGCTTCAAGTTGCACTCTTTGCAGGTTTTAGTTGACCTACATTCTTGATCGCCGTGACTGAATAGACAATTCTTACAGAGTTGCAATTTCGTGATAATTTCATTGCGTTTGCTTGCTCCCAATTCAATAAATTTATCGCAATTCATTAGAACGTGAGTCCCTTTGCAATGTGGGCATTTCCCGTATGTTGCGAAATAGTTGTTTGTTCTGACAGGTCGATAGTAAATGTTTTTCATCGGGGTTTGCTTGTATGATTTATTGGAAGATGGGTTGTCGGCGCTTAGTATGTTTCCTTCTAGTTGATTTCATGTTCGTAGGCCATAAATTGCGTTTCCAGAAAGTATAGAAAATCACGTAATTCTGTAATTCTCTATGGTCTTGTAACTCCTTCATATAATCGCTCAGAGTGCTTGTGTCGAGTTTTTGAGACATGATATGTACGATGATCGGGTCCCAGGAAGCAGTGTCAATGCCGATGTTAGAAATGCCGTTTAGACACTCTGTGATGACGTCATGCATCTTCTTCAAGTTAAATGAATCTGGATGTTGTATGACAGGGAGATTCAATATAGTATTCATGTAGGCAGTAAACTGCAGACGCCGATTATCGTAACGCTGGGTCAGAATATCCCAGCAAGTGTTGTAATTCTCAGTACATAATGTCAAATGTTGTACTAAGCGCTCAGCTTCGCCTCTCAATTTAGATTTTAGGTGTTGCATTTTTTGAGCGGGGTTGATTACTGGATTTTTATGGATGGTTTCCAAAAACAAATCCTTAAAGGAGATCCACTGAATATAGTTGCCTGAGAATTCCGGAAGGTCGATCTTGGGTGCGGATTTTTTATAATGGGCATTCGACCACTTGGTGGAGTTAAGCTTAGTTCGCAAGTCATCGTACCTTTGTTCAACATCCGAAAACGTTTTGTAGTATTCTTCATTCGAACCCTTCAATAGGAAATCTATTTGCCAATGGAGATTATCGATGGGATCCCACTTGGATTTCAAGGTCGACAGATGATCTTCTAATTCCCATTGTTCAGATATAGGCATCATGTTGATTTTTTCCATGGTTCGGTATATGGCGTTAAAGTTGCATTCTTGTTTTTGAAGTAACAACTGTTGCTTGTCACCACGCTCCGTAGTTAAGTCTTCCGAAGTACCAGTTAAGTCAAATTGTACCTCTTTTTTGTTGTTCGTGTAATTCCGTTATCCTGTTAGTGATATCGGTTTTAGTGGCCACGTACATCTCCTTGGTTTTCCCGTAGATGTCGTCGGCGAAGTAGTTAATTTTCTTATCTTCTAGTTCTAGTACTAAGAGAGCATGTCTGTTATCGAAATCCTCCCATTGATGTTCTAGAGAAGATAGCCGTTTGTTTAAGTAGTCCACAGTTTTGCGGACTGAAGAGTCCTTGCGATAGTTAACACACAAGGTCTTGATATTATTAAAACACGATGACTGGAGCTCAAGTTTGTCCATCTTGGTGTTTCTAGTTATAGTTAAAGTTGATTCACCTGGTTCGGCGAAGAGTTATCGAAGAGTCGTCTTCGTTAGTTGCTGCAGCACAGCGACGAGTTACTTGAATGTGGCGTGTTCACGTCCAAATACTCTAGCACTCTCTACAGTATGAGCGCCTTCTCAATACAACTGGGGATTCTCGCTTCTGAGAGGCCAGCTGCACCGATTCGCTACTGTATTAAGACACTATAGTATCCGGCTCGAAGGACCATAAAATGTACGGTTAAGTACACCTTGCTTAGGTTCGCTGGTAAAGATGTTTGCTTCTTGAAGTTAAGTCAGTTGAGTTGATGAGTGCAAAGAGAAAGAATCACTTATGATACGTTTATTAGTTAAGTTATACAAGTTGAAGGTTGGCGATTCCTTTCTCTATCGTTGGTTTATTAGCACACACAGAGTTTACTTAATCGATGACTATTTATACTTAAATTACGAACGCGCGACGCGACATAGTTGCCGCATCAGCACTACCCATATACAGCGTGTACAGTTTAAGACTGTACAATAATGTAATACTAACTTAATTTTTTATGTTTGAATATTAAAAATAAATTTTCATAAACCATAGATTTGTACACAATAGGAATGATTTATAGAAATATTGAAGTAAGCTAATGTTGAGCACTAACTTATTTCAGGTTAAAACAACAAAGGAGTTGTTGGAACAGATCCAGTCGCGCGGCAGTAAGCCGGCCGCGTCGCCTGCCTCGCCGCGCTCTCCCGCCTCGCCAGACGTCATGCTAATAGAGCCCGACAGTACGTTCCGACTGATATCGCATTTGATATATTTATTTGTAATATTCGTCTGAAATACTGGCTGCTTCGTGTTTAAAAGTATTGAAATGTAACAATAAATAAAATGATGATGCTACATTTTGCCGATTATTGTTAGGAGTGTGTCGCTTCATAAATTTTGTATTGTATTTATAATATATTTTGTTTCGTAGCGTTCGTGAAGGCGGAGTCTCCACTACGGAACGGCGGCACGACCCCCCGCCCCCCGTCCCCCTGCGCGTCCCCCGCGCCCCCGCTGTCCCCGCTGGAGGAGCCGCGCGAGGAGCTGCAGTGCACGTGCGAGGAGTTCGAGCACGAGCAGTGCCCGCTGCGGGCGGCGCTGGGCGCGCGCGTGCGGCCGCGCCACGTGCACGCGCTGCACCACGCGCTGCTGCCCGGCCTCAACGGCACGCGCGCGCCGCCGCTGCCGCAGCGCTTCGCAGTGCGCGCCGCGCCGCACGCCACCGACCCCGACCTCTTCGCCAGCGTCGTGCCGCTCTACAAGTACTCCGACTACGCGGACGACTACTGCGTCAAGAACATGTCGCGCGTGCCGCTGTGTACGCACCTGCCCTGGACAGAGTTCGCGCCGCCGCCCCCGGACCTGCCCCCGCCGCCCGAGCCGCCGCCGCTGCGGCCCTACCCGCCAATCGACCCCGAGCCGGCGGAGGCCAGCGAAGACGCTGAGCAGGACGAAGTAGATGTGAAACCCGACGTGAAGCGGGAACCCAAGGAGCACACGGAGGTGGAGGCCGAGATGGTCGGTGTGCCGACCCTCGAGCAGAGCGAGAGACTGAAGGCGCCCCTGCTGTCGGCCGAGGAGAGTCGCAGCTGGGGGTGGCGCGGCGCGAGGCGGAGTCCCCCGCGCGACAGTTCGCGGCCGCCGCGCCGCAGCACCGCAGCGTGCCGCGCACGAGAGCGGAGCCCGCCTCGCTGCTGGCCGACGCCACGGCCGCCGCCTCGCTGGCGCCCTTCAGCTACGCGCAGCTGGACGGCGCGAGCGTGCTGCCGCGCGCCGCGCTGGCCAGCGACGCGGCGCTGGCGGCGGCGCTGGCGGCGGCGCCGGCGGAGCGCGACGGGCTGGGCCGGCCGGCGCGGGCCGCGCGGTTCGCGGAGTGGCACGAGTGCGCGCGGCTGGGCGAGCTGGTGGCGCTGCCGTACGTGGTGCTCGACTGACGGAGTAGTGCCAAATGCGTGTCGCCCGCGCCGCCCACACCCAAGTGTCCTTACGTTAGTTATAGTGGCCGGCCGGCGGATACATGCCTAGTCATATATATTTATTTTGTAACGGCCGATGACGAGTCGTAGCGGGCGGGTCTCCCGCGCCCGCTTGTGATATTATGTAGGAGGCCGCCTGGGGGACGCCGATACATTCCCGGTCGAGACACGCGCGACATCACACACGTGACCCGAGCCGCAGACTGAACCTGAGACCGCGCGCGATGTGTCGACGCTCTTGGTATTTTTGTAATTGATAGTACATGCATTGCTCACTCGATATAGTGGCACAGATCGCGCGTGGTCTCTGCGCCGAGTGATGGACTGCGGAGCCCCTCGGCCTCGCGCGGCCTCGCGCTCCGGTCCACCACTTACTTGTATAGTTATAGAGTTCCCAAATAAGATTTAAATAATAATCTCCCGACTGTTTCATAAGTTGTCGTTACCTTTTGTGATTTTTAAAATGAAAGAAAGAAAAAATTAGGTAATTAATAAATAATTAAATAGGAGTTCCAATTGTATATTATACATAATTATTGCATCTATCATGCGTCGAAATATCAATGATAAGGGAAAGAGAATGTTAAATTTTATAAATATAAACATTTACTATATGAAAAGTTGTACCAAATTGTTGTTGTTGATATAGACAGCGCACACCGCGCCGCCGCTCGGTACATACACAGACCGGACGACGGGACACTAGTACACTGTAGCGCCTGTACACTGTAGTGTCTGTACACAGTAGTGCCTGTACACAGTAGTGTCTGTACACGCGAGCGCTTGTGTAGCCGCGGCCGCCGCGGTGTGCGCGGTCTCGATAAGAATATAATTGTCTGTTACTATATAATTAACAAGAAAACTAATTATTATCAGATTATAAAATTATCACAAAATTGTAAAGTTCCTAGTTTTGATTCCGTTTAACAAAGCGAGCACTGTATGGTATGTAATGACAATTTGGTAAATTTTTCACCATTATCTTGTATGAAAAAGACAAGTTTTGAGTATCTATAGTTGAATATTGTTACATACAGTTTGTTATCACGTTTACAAAGATGCCAAATGATGCCGCTGTGCGGTGGTTTACTGTATGTGTTGTGTTTATGGTAATTGTGATGCGAACGTGCGAGCTTTTATGTTTTCGCTGAATAATACGTTTTTGTAAAAGTTAAACTCTTTATTTTTAATTTACCGTTAGGTTTATGTGTAATTGTGTTGTTTCGAGAGAAGGACGAGTGTTATTGGTGGTGTTGCAATAGTACACAGGTACCAACATTGTGGTGATATTCAACCATAGATACCGCGGCTCGTACGTACGAGCGAGCGACCGGCGGCGCGTGCGACAGACCCCGAACTGTCTACGACCACGCAATCAATAAGTGCCTATGACCTGTCGCATGTCGCAGCCCCCGCCCCGCGAGTGAGGCCCAGTCGCAGGTCGCCGGTCGCGGGTCGCACGGTAGAGTTAGTAGCGAGTGTCGCGGTCGCGCCGCCGTGCCGCGCGACTGGCGCCACGTCGCCGGCCTTACGTGCGTGCTGCGGGTGAAGCCGTCGACCTGTGCGACGGCGACGTACCCCGTCACTGCCTTGTTGGACGAGATCCAAAAACTTTGCTAAACAAACGAAAATATATATATCACTGTGTTTTTATTATCCCTTTGTTTTATTTTGTTTACAAAGTTACTTGTTTCGAACTGGTTGTGCCGCTAGCGACGTTATACAGAGTAATTTCGAATTTACTTCTCTTATATTGGCTGTTGGCTGTATCCTGTGACTATTTTGTACAAAATATTTACTCTTGTAAGGAGATGTTTTGCTTGGAACAGTGAATTTCTCTGAATGGACACAATGGACAAAAATAAAACAATATCAAGTTAATAAAATTTATTATTAATAAAAATTACAATATCTTTCTATACACAATAGAACTGAGCGCATTTTTATTGCAGACAATAATCCCCCACTCGAATAACTCGTACTTGTGAATGTAGGTGGCAGCACCATAGCACAAAATTTTACAGGTTCAGTTATTGTATGCGCCCAGTTAATCACGTGTTTTAAAATTAAAAATATCATTAATGGCACCATGTTAGTTGCTTGAGTACAGACAAACAATTTACAGACGATATTTCAGTTATTGTCCAGTTTTTATTACATTAATTAGACAATTATAATTGAAATCTTTGTTAATGAGATTCGTTGAAATATTCGTTGTGTAGAATCTAAATACACTTTCTTAGGAGAAGCATATAGATACTTACATCATAATAAATAAAACATTAATAGTTCCGATATACAGTTTGTCAAATCGACCTTAAACTCATCGTGAAGGTCATATTTACATACAAATGTGAAGAGCTTGACATTTCCTTGAAACCGTAAATAAAACAAGGTCATTTAACCGTTAGCTGTGAAAACAAAATAATCGAAACAATTACATATTACGTGTAAATCTTACAATTAAAAATAATATCAACATTAACATTGAGAGTCCAAATTCACCAAAGATTTTGGTGAAAATGGAATGGAGTTTTACATGATCACGCATGGCATGGCACAGCATAGAGGTAGGCAGATTGGAACGGCTGTCTTCGTCTCAGAATGCTTCGATTTGCTTCGAGAGCCAGATTCGTACTCGTACATGCCCCGGGCTGACGCATAGCTCCCACCTCCTTGTGCCATCGCCTGTAAAAATACACATAGGTAAGTATGGAAACAAAATTAACTGGTTAGGTACGTAAGTATTTAGCGTAAGAAATCAAGCGACAAATCAGATGCCATGTTACTTGAGAATTTGGAATTCATCATCATCTTCAGCAGCTTATAAATGCCCACTGTTGAGCAAAGCCTCTTCTCACACGGAGAAGGTTTGAGCACCGCGCTTGATCAATGCGAGTTTACGATTGCAAACTTATAATTAGAAATTATAAGCCCAGGTTTCCTCACGATGTTTTTCTTCACCGTTTCTCAGTGGTGTCTAGATAATCTTAGAAAGTACATATAACTCGGAAAAGTCACATTGGTACTTGCTGTTGGTAGATTACGAACCCGTAAATGAGAAGCGGGCGTCTTAAATCTCCGGGTCACCACGACATACATACAACTTCGGATTATAAGTAGGTAGGTTAGGATAATGTAGAAAAATACGTACACTGCTGGCTTGGTAGCCACCACCACCACCACCGCCTCCCTCCTTCTTCTGGAAGGGAGTGTGTCCAGGCGGGTAGTACACTGCAGGACCAGCCACGTTGCGGCTGTTTGCAACGACCGGGGACTTCGCTGGCGGACTGGGGGCGGAGTCCCGCGTGTCTCTGGTGTCTCTGTTCAATGTGGAGCTCTGCGTCGAGCTCTCGTGGGTGACGTGCACGTTGCGACGAACAACGCCGTCTGGCTGCGTTGGGAAGCGCTGGGAAGTAGAAATGAACGAGTTAAGAAGTTAGGTACGTACACAAAACCGATTTACTGAAAACGCAGTACCCAAGTTACCCAAGCATTTTGTAAAAATATCTCAATGACAGCTACTGTTTTTGTTCATAGCCTATTTTTATTTATTTATTTAATAAAAGGTACCTACATGGTATGCCTTACATTCTAACGCGATGTCAGATAAAACTATACAAATAGAAAACTATTGACGAGGGTGGGTTAGTGTCGCCTGCGGTTTAGTAGACTGAATATAGCCTACCTGGCTCGAAAAATGGACTTATTTATTTATTTTCATTAACAAAATATCAAATACAAAATACTTATTCAAATCGAACCTGAAAAATATTTTCCAGAGATTAACACGCTAAGCTATAACTGTCACTTGTCCGAAATAAACATTATTTTATTTATTTATTTTATAACAAATCCTTCTGCTTTGTAATATTTTACGAATAGAAAATAGATACTTACAGCTTCTGGGAAGTCAGCAAGCAGATCATCTAACTTCTTCGGTGGTTGCTGAGTGCCAGGCGAGGGGGTGCTGGGGCGGGGGAAGGGGCCAGGGGAGGGGGAGTTGGCGGGGTGCAGTGTGTGGGTGGGGCCGTGGGGGAGCGGGGACGGGGAGGGGTAGCGGTGGCTCGTGTTGTGGGTGGAATATGTCGTCTCCGAGAACTTATACGATGATGGACCCTGGGGATGAAATTTCAAACTAAGTAAATTCACTACTTCCAACAATAGAAATCTTGCAATTTTGCCTTCAACTTTAGCCCATTATACCTCACCTACCCCTACATTTGGTGTTTTTAAACTCAAATTCATATTGGAATAACTGTGCTGCTAAGTAGTGTAGCCATGATAGGAAAGAGCGTAAGAAAAAATCATTTTTCGAATAGCAATAAGAATTAATCAAACGACATTTTATTTATTTATTGATACAGCAAATTAAAGTTGCATTGAAAATAATTGCTTTACTGATTCGGCGCACTATAAAAAATATGTTTAATAGAATAGAATAGAATATAACTTTATTGTACACCATTAATAATACAGTACATACAGAAAAGGAAATGACAAATATAAATAAAAATAATAATGGGCACAAAGGCGGTCTTATCACTTATAGTGATTTCTACCGGACAACCTTTATGTTTGTAATCAAATTAAAAAAGAAAAGCTTTTTAACCGACATATTAATAACTGTCAGATGACAATTTTATGCTTTTACTGATAATTGAGAAATTGGCCCTGAGGAGAATGTTTCAGTAAGGTTTCAGTATATTAAATAACCGACTTAAAAAGGGTGGGGGGAGTCGGTCTTTTTTAAACGTAGTTTTTTATAAAATAATTATAAGATACAAAACTTGTATAACTTACTGTATAACAAAACTATGTAACTAGTAAATTGTATTTTGAACCTGATTGAAAAAGAGTAACCTATGGAGTTTCTTGCTCGTTCGTCTCCATAGGAATCTACGCCTTGGAATGAGCAAATAGCTTCACTTTAAATTTTTGTTTTTGTTGACGTTCAAAAGTGCCATTCTGGCCTAATTAAAATAAATGATTTTGACCTTGACTTTGACTTTACTGTATAGTCCCATTGGGGTAAGCAGAAAAGATATCAATCAAATTAGTGAAGGTCAATCTACTATGGGGTCTTAGTTAGAGCATTAAGTTTTAATATTTATTTATTCAATACATACGTATGGGCCATGTCCATTATGCGGTTCGGATGGTAACACCTTGGTCTCGTTGACGGGTGCAGGATACACCATGCGTTCATTGGTGCGATCTGAAAAATTGACAACCCCACTTTAATACAGGTTGAATGACGCGCCATACGCTCGGGTCTACTTCTGGTCGGGCGGCGAGCTGCCCTTGCTCACCGCAGACCCGCAATTCTTTTTGTGTTGGATACTAGATTTTTACCGACTTCAACAAAAGGAGAAGGTACTATGTTCTGCTGATTGCATTTTCTTAGTATTCGTTCGCCGATTACTCCGCCATTTGTGAACCGATTTCCAATATTTTGGCGCCGACTTCTAACCTACCACTGGGTGGGTAACCTATCAGTACTAATAATAGTTAGTTATTTTTTGTTTTTTAGTTTTTACGGTTTCTTTGTTTAGTTCTAGATAGTGCTCTTTTATATAGACTTTTATAACCTTCCTCGATAAATAGACGAGATAATTCAGACGAGACAAGACAACACAAAAGGAATTTTCATTTTCTTCGTTCGTTTTTCCTTTACTTTACTACAACAAAACCCTTCAGCTTCATATATATTATTATGAAGTGTAGATAGTAGCGTACCGTCGGTGGTGGTGACAGTCCGGTACTCCCTGATGGTGGAGTTGCAGTGCGAGCAGTACTGGCAGCCGCCGGGGCCCGCCGGCGACACTAGCGCCGCGGGGGGCGGCGGGGAGCTCGCCTGACTGCTGCAAATATTCATCAAAAGTTAATGTGATGGGTAATAAATATTACTATATCTTGAAATAGCTATAAAAAAATGTATGTTGACGTCGCGCAGCTCACTCTGCTGCGTGACGTCGCCTCGAAGAGAAAGAACCCCTCTGTGGTTCGAAACTAGTAGAGCTTTTCTCAGTATATTCACGTGAGTAACCCGCGATTTTACTTAATTCTACAAATTATTTGGTCTATGACTTACGTGGTCCTATTATGTTCTGAGGAGACGTAGGTGTGTTGATGTTCAGCGTGCACGGGTATGGGCACGGTGGTGGGGTCCTGGTCGGCGGGGACCTCGTATGTGTAGGTCTTCACCGTCGTAGTCACCTTGTTCATGGGGGTCCCGCCGCGAGGGAGCTACGGGCATAATAAATACCTATAATAAATTTCTGCTTATACATACTTTGTTCGCGTTGAGAATGCAGTGATTCAACAGTGCAACTGTAAGATAAAGGTGTATTTACAGTCGTGTGAAATTTAAACAAATTATATTTTCAAAGATTAAGTTTGATTTAGATTTAAGTACTGCAATCTTAACGCGTATGTATGTACCTACTATAGTATAAACTATACGTCCTCGTCATCAGGGGAAATGAACTTTACTAATGAGCCCCAACTCGATTTATAGAAAGAAAGAAAAATTGTTTATTTGCACACGGTCACAAAGTACAATATCACACACACAAAAAAAAATAATTAAGTAATGCAGTGAAGAGGGCGCAAAAAGGCCAGAGCTCAGCTTAAATGTCTACTAGCAAGCAATCCATCCGTCAGCCACCTTACAATTTCCAGAGATCAGCTCGATTGTACCATAATATTGTATGGTCATTCATTCTACATTATATTTTTATAATTTAGACTGCACGGTTGTGCTGTAGCTGGGCAACTGACTGCCGCGCAACGTGTCGCGGGTTCGATTCCCGCACGGAACAACTCTGCGTGATCCACAGATTGCTGTTTCGGGTCTGAGTGTCATGTGTATGTGAACTTGTATGTTTGTAAATGCACCCACGACACAGGATACAACCCAAGCATGAGACTGAATGTTAGATGATAGTGACTTACAGTTCCGGTAGAGGGCGCGTGGTGGCAGTGGGTGCAGACGGGGGCCGGCACCGGCTGGGGGAGCGCGGGGGACACCGCGGACGGCACCACGCGGGACTCTGGCAAATAACATTCACATATTTTAAATTCCATTACCAGACCCAGTGGTTGGGCTACGCAACATAGGACAACTCCTTGTGTATGTCATCCACATTATACATAATATCACGCCTTTTATCCCCGAAGGGATAGGCAGAGGTGCACATTATACCACTGTACAATGTAACACCCACTTTTCACTATTTATGTTATGAATCCCATGTAATAGGGGGTGAGCCTATTGCCATATACCGGGCACAATTCCAGACTCCGTGGTATGTACTACTGAGAATATTTAGAAACCCAGTAATACTTTGCCCGACCCGGGAATCGAACCCGAGACCCCTTGCCCGGCAGTCGCACTTACGACCACTCGGTCAAAGAGGCAGACATTCACATATTTTAAATTCTATTACAAATTAGTGTTAACAATAACGACAGACCCAGTGGTTGGGCTACGCAACGTGGGACAACTTCTTGTGTATGTGATCCACATTATTTATTTATTTATTGTGGTTCTGGGTCTAAACATGATGTGAGTTCGTATGGCTTGTGTTTGTAAACTCCCCCACGACACAGGAGATTCATTCAGCATTTTAGTTTGGGGCAAAGTTTGAAAAAAGTAATGCTCACCAGTTTTCTCCTCCCTATAGACCTCCTGCCGGACCTCAGCAGCCCGAGTGACAGTTGGAGGAGGGGGAGGGCTGGATCCCCACGAGGAGGTCTCGACCCGTTCCTCTCGCTTCAGCGTCGAGTACCCGCTTGATGGAGCCTTGGCTGGAGTGCTGGGGAACATTTTAGTCAAGATTAGATAACAAAGTGTGGCAGGACAACTTGCCAAATGGAGATTTTTTTTAAATATTGCTACTTCAATCGTCAACACTCAACAGCCTACCTATACCTAAGTGCAGGAGAAGGAATGGGGTGGTTTTTAGTCAGTAAGAGTCTGACACCAAAGGTGGGAGCAGTCATTCGATGATTTTCCCCCCTTAAAAAAAGCCTCTTCTCACACGGAGAAGGTTCAAGCATTAATCACCACGCTTCCTCAATGCGGGTTGGCGATTACAAACTTATAATTAGAAATTATAAGCCCAGGTTTCCTCACGATGTTTTCCTTCACCGTTTGTCAGTGGTTTCTGGATCTTAGAAAGTACATATAACTCCGAAAAAGTCACATTGGTACTTGCCGTTGGTAGGTTTCGAACCCGCATCCTCATGCATGAGAAGACGTCTTAAACCTCCGGGCCACCACGACATTGCAACACCTTTATATTTAGATCTTAAGTAATACAATTTTAGTTATTGCAAAACTCAACTTCAATGCAACTTATTGCAAAACCTGTATGTATTGTATTCGCAATTGGCTTTAAACAGATTATTTAACACTCAGGAGAAGGTTTTAGCATAGCGAGCTGACGGTTGCCCATGAACACCTGGAACACCAGAGGCGTTACAAGTGCGTTACCGGCCGTTTGGGATTAGGAATTTGAAGATTGTTGGGGATTTAGGGATTGGGGAAAGGGGGGGGGGGGGGTAAGTAACCTCACTCATACGACGAAATACAACGTAAGCGTTATTTCACGTCGGTCTTTTGTGAGGTTGTGGTATCACTCCGGTCGATTAACTCGTCGAGTACCGGTTTTATAGACACAATTAAAGAACAATAGGTCGCGGTCACCGGTGACCGCTTGGTGTTTGACAGTTTAATTAGTAAGATGGACTTGTTCAAATTATGTAAAGCACTGCTTACCCCCGTCTGTAGTCAAATGACGTGCTCTCAGCTGTATCCGATGTGTAGCCATCTGAAATATTAGAATTTTTTATTAAGTTTAAGATACTCCTCCGAGTTTTTTTTTTAAATATGGGAAATCATCGAATGACTTCTCCCGCCTGGGTCAGGCGGGAGGGAGTGTCAGACTCTTACTGACTAAAAACCACCCCGTTCCTACTCCTGCACTTCGAGTCGGAGCCCCGGTAACCCGTTAGGTTCTCCGCAACTCCGTATCGGCATCAGCCCTATTGGGCCTTATTCGTGGTGTTCTGATGGCTCTTTGAGGCGCGCGGTACGCTCGGCGCCGTACGCTCGGGTCTATTTCTGGTCGGCCGGCGAGCCACCCATGCTCGCCTCCTCCTCCTGTGTCGTGGGTGCGTTTACAAACTACAAGTTCACATACACACGACACCCAGACCCGGAACAATAATTTATGGATCACACAAAGTGTTGTTCCGTGCGGGAATCGAACCCGCTACACGTTGCGCGGCAGCCAGTTAACCAGCCACCACCGCACCAACCGTTGTCGTAGTCGACAAAGTCAAAGTCAAAGCATTTATTTCAATTAAACCATAATTTGGTACTTTTAAAACGTCAACAAATACAAAATAAATAATAGTCTGTCAGTCAGTCCGTCAGTGAAGCTAGATGAAGCTAGGTTGTATGGGGTTCCGGATCCCAGCAAGAGTAGGAATGGGGTGGTTTTTACTCAGTCACCAAGCAAACGTACCCTGAGTCTTACTTTTGTACAGCTGCCTTTCCTGGTCCTTCTGCAAGTCATCCAGGAGTGAGTCCAGCTCCTCCACGTTCTGAGACAGGTCTTTGGTGACCTTCGAACTCTTCACCTTGGAGTACCCTGAAAGTTTAAGGATAAATTTTAGTAACACAGCATACAGAATATTTATTGAGTGTAGAATGTTTTTGTCCGAAACTTTTTAAACGGTACCGATGTTATTTTTTGACGATTCAGCAATTCTTCATAGCAACACTAAGTTCGGTATATGTTTTGAAAAATGGATCTTCTTTCTTCCCTTTTCCTAATTATCTGACCATTATAACTTATTTATGTATGTACTAGCTTCTCCCTGTGGCTTCGCTCGCGTGTCCGTGGAGTAAAAAGTGGCCTATGTGATATTCTAAACCAGGGCTGTCCAAACAAAGGCCCGTGCGCCGCATGCGGCCGCATGCTTCGAATTGATATGTGCTCAACGGCCCCCTCGTAGTCTAAAACGGCCCTAACTATACCATGGTTTATTACCTGGAGTGGAACTGATGGACGACTCGTAGTTGTAAGTGCGAGTGCCTGAGCTGATGGCAGGCAGCTCCCTCTCCTCCCTCTCGTAGTAATACGAGTTGGACTCCGAAGACTTTGGCACTCCCCTCGGAGGAATTGTGTACTCCTGGAAATAAACGAACATTATATTTAAGTATTTGACGCTCGATAGAAAACTGTTGAAGACAAATTTTTGGCTAAAGTTGTTTGTTTTATGAGATAATCTGGTAAACGAGCAGCTAAGCAATCGGCGTCGCCCATGGACACTCGGAACATCAGGGGCGTTACACGTGCGTTACTGGCCTTTTGGGGATTAGGAATTTGAGTATTGTTGGACATTCAGGGATTATGGTGGGGGTGGGGGGGATTAGTGTTTACCTGACGTGTTGAACTGTAGATATGTTTCTTGCGACCCATTTCCAAATAGACACAATTTTATAAGATATCCAATTAGAAATAGAAAGCTCATTATGTTGTTCTTGTCCGTTTGTTATCAATACTGAGTAGAAGTTTAAATCTAAGACCTTTGTTTATTAACAGAAGTAAATTGTCGATCGAGTGGTCGCAAGAATGATTATATTTTTGTTTTTGGATTTTCTAAGGTTTCTCAGTTGTACCACGGAGTCTGGAATAGCGTCTGATGTATAATATACACCTTGTCATTGATGTAAAGAGGTGTTACAATATATGCACCTTTGCCTACCCTTTCGGGGATCAAAAGGAGTAATGTTAATATAGTTATGTTGTCAGATGACTTTCATTAAGTAGCACCCGGACACTCGCTGCAATAGAAGCGTGATGATTGAAAGGTTAACTGTATCCAAACCAAAATTGTACAAAGTTTACAATGAGTAATTGGTGACTAACGTGCTGATGTCACTCTCATGCAGACTGGTTTCATTGCCACTTTATCGCTTCAGTTCTGTTCTGAAGCTCATTTTACGATTGTAACCGAATAAATAAAAGATGCACAATGACTATTAGCTATGAAATATTATTGACGTTCTCGAATCTCAGTAATTAATGGGCTTAGCATAGGGGCTAACAAAACAGCCTACGTTTGTAAATGATGTTGTGTAAATTCCAACGACCTACGATGTTTCAACGCTTCAGGTGTTATCGTAAAAGCTTATTTGCCATTTCAGTGAAAGCAAAATTCATATAAGCTAAGGTTAGTGACATTTATAGATATCTCCAGCTCCTTGGATATTTGATCAGACCACCGATTGGGACTCCGGCCTCTCAGTCACTTTCCTTCTACCTTACTCACTATGAGGCGTTCCAGACTGCCAGCATCAATATGGAGGAGGAGCATCCAAGGAGCTGGAGATGGACCTATGAATGTTGCAATGCACCAAGCAACGGAACGAGATAAATGGCGACATCTAGTGAGCAGAATCAAAGGGAGTCACGATCCTCAGCAGTGAGGAAATCGACTAAGAGAAGAAGAAGAAGTGACAATCGGTTAGTTTCATTTTGGAATACTATAATAAACACTCCAAATATATTATTTATGTCTGTACGAACTAATTGAGATGGGAGATAATACCACCCTCGAAGAACAAACCTAATTCCAATTTGGAAGTCACATAATAGATCGGCAAGCGCCGGTTTTCTGTGAGGCCACCTTTCTATATTATCAGCCCATAAAAGTTAAATGTTGAATTCTTACTTTCCTTACTTATATTATATTTCGGAAAGTGAGTTTGTTTGTCTGTTTGTTTGTTCCACTTTAACGCCGTAACTACTAAACCGATTGCTTTAAATTTTTGCAGATGTATGCGTTAAATTTTTGCAGAAGTCCGGATAAAATAATAGGGTACTTTTTATCCCGGAATAATTTGATATTCCCGAGGAAAAACAAAAGTATTGGTATAGATGGCGCTGTGTGTATTGGTATATGTCACATTGGCTTTTTATCCTTTTGTGACGAGATTGAAGCCGCGGGTAAAAGCTAGTGTTACATATTTCTTTTCTCATCTCATCATCGTCTCTTACCTCGACCGTATGTAGATCCTTCCTGTCGTACTTTCCGGTGGGATGTTTCTCCTCTTTGTATTCATAGTGGTACTCCCGAGTCCCTCCTCCACGTCCCAGAGAGTCCAACTTGCTGCCTTTTGGTATCAGCTCCGATTTAATCATGTCTGTAAAAGAAATATTTAAAGATGTTAAAATCAACGATTATTTGTGTGAATTAGAAGAAAGAGAGAAAGAGGGAGTGAGGGAGGGATGGTTTCTCCCGCCCGGGTGAGGTGGGAGGGAGTGTCAGACTCTTACTGACTAAAAACCACACCGTTCCTTCTCCTGCACGTCGAGCCGGAGCCCCAGCAACCCGTTAGGCTTTCCGCGACGTTTGTGTTGGATAGCGCATTTATCGAGGATGGCTATAGGCTATAAAACATAGCGCTACGACCAATAGGAGTTGGGCAGAGCGTGTGAAACCGCGCGGAAGTAGCTAGTTTCCCAATAAAAGTGTATGAAATCTTACCAAACTGTTCATCCGTGTAAGGTATGTTGCCGCTGGACGAGGAGTACTCCTTGAACTCCTTGTGCTTACTATACGATTTGGTCGTCATGGTGGCTGCTACCCGTTAGCTGAAACAATACAAAATACATAATTAATTTAATTAATAGAGACATTGTAGAACATACTTTTTTTTAAAAAGAGTAACGAATGGAGTTTCTTGCTCGTTCTTCTCCATTCGAATCTACTTTTTGGAATGAGCACCTAGCTTCACCTAGTTTCACTGACGGACTGACTGACAGACTATTATTTATTTTGTATTTGTTGACGTTTCAAAAGCACCAAACTATGGTTTAATTGAAATAAATGCTTTGACTTTGACTTTGACTTTGAATTTGTTCAAATCAATCGGGAATTTTATAATAACTATCGTGAGATATACTAAATTAAGTAAAAACGCGTGTTAACCCGCGTTTTTACTTAATTCAATCAGGAATTATTGACTGCGCCGTAGACCATAGATCAAATCCCTAGGTGACACCACCGTCATACTATGGGCAGTTAGGGACGTGCATCTCGCAGCGCTCCTGTGGAACCTGTCGCGCTAGGCACTTGTCTACTTTGACTTAGGGATAATATGGCTCTGAACGTAGTAGCAGGGTGACTTGCTGCTGAGCAACGTGTCGCAGTTTCAATTCCCGTCCACACAAATCTTTGTATGATCCACAATTTTATAGTCATTCCAGGATGCTTACTCTTAAAACCAATGTCAATGTCAATGCAATTTCAATCCAATAAAATCTCTATAATCATTCAATGTCAAAACTATACAACCCCTATCGTAGCTGTTAAAATAGCGTTCAGAGTACAGAATATAAAGCCAAACTCAATACCATTTAGTTCATTCAATATCCACGCGATACGGATGCAATGCGCGCTAGTGTTGCAACTCAAGAGTACGAAATTTCACAATACCAATGTCGATCGATCGGAATTTTCAAAATGTTAAAATTAAACTATATTTTAATTTGAATGGAACTATAACCAACGGAGTTTGTTTCCGAGCAGTCAAACACGAAAAGTCAACTGATAGCTATAATAAATACAATAAATAACAACAATAATAGTTTTATAATAACTATCATGAGGCATACTAAATTAAGTAAAATCGCGGGTTACTCACGTGAATATACTGAGAAAAGGTCATGAGGAAGAACCCCTGTGTGGTTCGAAACTAGTAGAGATTAAAAAATAATAGTTCTCATTTATTTAAAAAGACATCCTAATACTGCCCTACCTATTCTATAAGCCAGAGCCGCAATGTTACCATCAATCCGTTAGACAGACGTTTGACATTTGAGAAATGAAAGGAGTTTCGCCTACGCACCTGCAGCGACCAGATTACGTTTCACCGCCTAATATGGCGCGACCTGTGGCTTTGGAGCATTAAATGCATAGGTAGAATATATATGTATGTTCATATCTATACTATCTATGCTCTAATATATGTATAAAGCTCAAAAGTTTGTTTGAATGCGCCGTTATCTCCGAAACTACTGGCCCAAATTTAAATAGTTGCATTGTGTCATCACGACTTAATAATTAAGAACGGGGTGGTATTTAGTTAGTAAGAGCCTGACACTCCCTCTCGCCTCATCCAAAACGGGAGAAGGCATTGGATATTTTTGCCCCCTGACTGTATGTATGTTGATGGAATAGTTTCCATGAACATACCCTGTTTTATTTTTGTCACTAGTTTATGCAAGTCAAAATCATTTATTTCAATTAGACCCTGGAAGGCACTTTTGAACGTCAACAAATAAATTTAAAGTGAAGCTATTTTCTCATTCCAAGGTGTAGATTATCTAGCCATCAGACCACCACAGATGGGGCCCAACAGGGCTGATGCCGATACGAAGCCGCGAAAGACTTAACGGGTTGCCGGGGCTCCGGCTCGAAGTGCAGGAGTAGGAACGGGGTGGTTTTTAGTCAGTTACAGTCTAACACTCCCTCTCGCCTCACCCGGGTGGGAGAAGTTATTGGATGATTTTCCCCCCTCAAAATAAAAACGTGTAGATTCCTATGGAGAAGAACGAGCAAGAAACTCCATACGTTACTCTTTTTCAATCAGGTTCACAATACAATCTTTAGTTAGGCAGTTTTATTGGGAATAATGTAACACCAAAATCCAGTCAGAGATCGAATTCTGCTAAGTGCTATTATAGGACAATATCATCATCAGAAGATGTAACTAACAAGTAATTGAAAAATTGGTCCCCATCCTTGATAATCTGCCGCGGAGAACCTAACGGGTTACCGGGGCTTCGGCTCGAAGTGCAGGAGAAGGAACGGGGTGGTTTTTAGTCAGTAAAAGTCTGACACTCCCTCCCGCCTCACCCAGGCGGGAGAAGACAATCGATGATTTTCCCCCGTTAAAAAAAACCTTGACAATCTGGTTTTATATGGCGGCAAATGAGCAGATGGATCACTTGATGGTAAGCAATCGGCACCGCTCATGGACACCCACAATACAAAAGTTACAAGTGCAATGCCAGATCCATGGATATAGAAATTGATGATTGGGTATTGGGGATTTGGAGATTCAACCACCGGTAATATCACTTACAAGGCGAGATGACCCCGCAAGATTTAAGTTAAAAAAATAATAATATATGCAAATGTTCACGATATTGATTGTCGATATGACAACATTTTGCTTGTACCTGCTAACAAGGCGAAATGAATCGATGACCTTTAGTAACTATAGCGGTGTTTGCATTACTCTGCATACGTTTTGTAAAGAACAGCTTGCCATAATGGGTGTTGCATAGACTATGTCTAGAATTTTGAAATGTCAACGAGTTGTTTAAAACAACTTTAAATTTGTTTAAATTGTGTTTGTTACCTAACTTAACTTGCAGATCGTAACGCTGGCTACTTTGTCAAAGGTTAAGCGTTGTCATCCAACGCGGCAGTGCTGCCAGTCTTTTAGGCACCCGTCCTCACGACTGCAATGAGGATAATTTTTTCGATACCTTTTTTTTTCTATCTTGATGGAAATCCTCATGGACTACTACTAGAAAGTAAGCTTAAGTTAACTTAAGTTAGATATTTTTATATTTTTGTTTTCTTTCCTATTCTTTTTATTCTTTATGTTTTCTTATGCTGCCTCGTTGGCCGAGTGGTCGCAAGTGCGACTGCCGCAAGGGGGCAAGGGGTCTCGGGTTCGATTCCCGGGTCGAGCAAAGTATTACTGGATTTCTAAAAATTTCAGTAGTGGCACGGAGTCTGGAAATGTGCCAGGTATATGGCAATAGGCTCACCCCCTATTACATAGGACTAATAACATAAATAGTGAAAGTGGGTGTTACATTGTACAGTGGCATTAAGTGTCATAATGTGCACCTCTGCCTACCTCTTCGGGGATAAAAAGGCGTGATGTTATGTTATGTATGTTGTTATGTTATGTTTTCTTATATTTTAATATTAATTTATTTTTGTATTTAAATTTAGTTTTTATTATTATTTTAGTCATAGATATTATTGGTATTGTTGTACAGTAATTTTGATTAAATAACTGAACAGTAAAACAACTTGCGGGTACTTCATTGTTATAACTACTAGCTTCAGAATAATATACTTAAAGTTCGAAATGTGTTTATTGACATGACTCAGAACCACGATTCGATTCGATTATAGTACGATTCGTAAATAAAAAAAAAGTTTTACGAATTGAAAATTCCTATTTTTTTTTTATTAAAAAAAATTAAGATATTCCAAAAAAAAACATTACATTAACTAAAAGTTTTGCACCATACTCCATAACACACCGTAGATACGCAAATCAAACCGGCCGACGCAAAAAGCCCTGAATCGCGCAAGTGACATTTTCGTTGCAATAATTATATTACATAAAGATTAAATATCACTCTCGGGGGTCATGTATCTCAAGGGAAGCCAGTTGTCGCCAAGCTGGTCTAAGTTGGCGTACGCTCAGAAGTGCACCCTCCGGTGCAAATACTCAAACGCAGTCAACAAACACTCACCGTTGACTGTGCCCGACTGAGTGCTTCGAAAGCACCATTCCATCCGCCCCACCCCGCGCTGTGGTTCGGAAATTGAGAGCCCCAATATCCCCAAAGCGCGGGACTGGGGATGTATGGAAACCTAAGAGACAGGATTATTACACTATGACAAATGATGTTGAGTCAACGGGACCCCCCCTTTTTGTTCCTTTTTCATAATATGTTTATTTATTTGTTGTAAATTATTATTTTTTTGTTAATATTTTTCAACATTGTTAAAAAATATGTTATACCTATTTGTTACATTGTCCCTTCCAGTAGTTTTCAATAATTTAATTCTTTTTATGTTATTATATCCAATTGAATGTATAAACAAAAATTCATTCAAATTAGTGCAGTCGTTTAGGAAAACTAACCTAGACTTCGACTGCAGTTCCACCTGCCGGGCTGATTTGACGCGTACAGAAAAATTCATTTAAATCGGTCAAGCCGTTTAGGAGGAGTTCAATGACATACACACGTACAGCAGAATTATATACATATATAAAGATAGGTATAGAAAATGACCAAAAAATAGATGTTAATTGGGTTAAATATACGTAAGTAAATCATTATGCACACTAGACATTTAGAACCCATTTTTTTTAGTTTAGTAACTCCCTCGGGACAAAAAAGGTTACGTTATATATGAGTTAGCCAAGTTTTAAAAATAATCTTCTAAATCGGGTAATATGTACTTGTACATATTTCATAATAAACACCACGCAGGTAGATGAACAAAAATATAATTATACCTAAAAAACTGCATCGCGCAAGTAACATTTTCGTAGACATTAGCATAAGACATAATATTTTTAACCATCACTCGGGGGTCCCACGTTCTCAAGGTAAGCCAGTTGTCGCCAAGCTGGTCTAAGTTGGCGAACAGTCAGATGAACCCCCTTTGGGGCGTGAATGCCGATCAACTAACTACACACCGTTGGTCGTGCTAGACTGAGTGCCTTAAAAAGCACCATATCTCCCCTCCACCCCCGAATACGGTGGAAGCCCCCGCCGTATTCGGGGGTGGAGGGGCGATAACCTATGA